GATACAAAAATTAAAGAAGCTCTGGAGAAAAATGATCAAAACTTAGCTCGTGCAAAGATCCAGGAATATTTGGACAAGGAGCAAAATGTTCCTCTAAATATTGCTGTCACAGGAGAGACTGGCTCTGGTAAATCCTCCTTTGTTAATGCCATTAGAGGTATAGACAACAAGGATGAGAAAGCTGCTCTTACTGGTTGTGTAGAAACAACCATGGAGGTCAAACCGTACCCCCATCCAAACTATCCCAAAGTGATATTCTGGGATCTTCCTGGTATCGGCAGCACCAAGTATCCTGCTGCTGAGTACCTGAAGAAGGTTGGATTTGAAAAGTTTGACTTCTTCATCATCATCTCATATGATCGCTTCAGAGAAAATGATGTGAAGCTGGCTAAGGAGATTCAAAAGATGGAGAAGAAGTTCTACTTTGTTCGCTCAAAGATTGACCATAACATAAGTGACGAGAAAAGAAGTCAGAGAGACTTCAATGAAGAAAGGACCCTGACACAAATCAGGAACAACTGCATCCAGGGTAGGTGATGTATCGAAAATCAAACAATAAAATGTTTTACTTCACTGCTTATGATGTTTTTTGACATGAATTCTCTCTCTCTCGCTCTCTCATAAATATACATTGCACAAAAAGTAGGGACATTTGTGTTTGGTAGATTATTTCTTTGTTTTAACAAATGCAAGATGCACCACCACCATTAACTAATTCAAAAGGATTTATTAATTGGTGGAGCTCTTAGTTGACGCTTGGATCAATCTGTTATTTCCTTCCTACTTTAATGCCTAATATTAACATAGAAACATAGATTGATGAATGTGATACATTGAGCTATGAAAATGACGGTTGAAATGAAATTGGAAAGTTAATTTCCATAGTTTACGAAACAACAAAGACACTCACATTCAGGAACTGACAGATTTCTCACAAAATTGAGCCCAATAACTGTTGAAGAAAATTAGAGAATTCGATGCTCTAGGATTATTTGCCACAACTAAACCTGTAATGCAAGCTGTTCAAACGACTCCTGAGACAGCTGGACAATTTATGGCATTTCAAGACTCAGAACTGCAGGCAGGCAGTCTCTCTCTAGCTATCCACTCCCAAATTCTGGAGGAAGTCTCCGATAAACCCCGCTCTGTGAGGGCGAGCATTGTCGTCATGGAGACTGTAGAGATATGGGATTGTCACTTGTTGCATAATCTCATCTTGATATCTGTCTAAATTGAGATTGCCTCCTATGATGTTAGGAGTTTCCAACGGCATAAGATCTATTGCCAAGAAGCATTGTTACAACAAAGGAATAATCTACAAAACACACATTTACTTACTTTTTGTATAGTGTATATATATATATATATATATATATATATATATATATATATATATTTAAATGTATTTAATATTAATTTCTATAGCACTTGTGTCAAAAAAACCTGTTACACTACAATGACGTCTAATTGAGAGCAGTGTTTCTTTGTCAACATGCAGCCACACTCAGCTTGTTTAATCGTGATGAACTCCTATTTGATGTTTGATAGCATGTCAAAATATATAAACTACAAACCAGTACAGTTATTGGATTAAAGTAATTATCTGTTAAAATCAGATTACTTTAATGATTATGAAGTTTTTCTGCTTCGAGAACAAACTGTCCTAAAATAACTTATTTTTCCTGACACAGGTCTTCAGGATCAAGGTCTCCAGTCTCCTCAGGTCTTCTTGGTGTCCAGCTTTCACCTGACACTGTATGATTTCCCTCTGTTAGTGGAGACCCTGAAGGAAGAACTTCCTGAACTCCAGAAGGATGCCTTTCTGCTTGCCATGCCCAATATCAGTCTGGACATGATCAAAGAAAAGAAAAAGGCTTTCCAAGCCAAAGTCAAATACTGGGCTACTCTATCTGCTATTGGAGCAGCTGTGCCAGTTCCAGGTGTTTCTGTCGCTGTTGATACAGCCTTGCTTGGCGGTGTTATCAAACAATATGGATTTGGGTTTGGTCTTGACATCCCATCACTGAAGAGAATGGCAAAATACTCAGGGGTTTCTTATGAGGAATTGAGTAAAGTCCTCAAGTCACCTCTGGCAACAGTAAATCAAACTCCTGAACTTTTACTGAAGTGGTTGTCTCAATTAGGCAGCTTAGTTGCATTAATGGCAGCAGAGGAGGGGTCCAGATTCATTCCAATAATTGGAATCCCAGCAGCAATGGGCCTCTCTTTTACCTTTACCTACAGAAGTCTTAACTTTTCCTCAACATGCTCGCTGACGATGCAGAGAGGGTATTTACTAGGGTCTGCAGTTGAACATCTCATGCTGATATTGTTAAAGAAATAGCATTCAGTACATATTTTTGCTGTCAAAACAATGTGTACATTTTGAGTTATTCATTGAAATCACATTAAAAATATGTCTATTGATCGTCTTCATAGTGATAATGTTATTTTTGTATAAAGGTTTACAATGCATGGAGCTTAACTATTATTTTGTACAGCTCTGCTGTTTTTAAGTGCTGTATACTAAACTGATTTATAATCCAGCTGCACATATCAGTAATCTGTTCAAATCAGGAAACATGAGTGTTGATATCAAAATGTTTCAAACATGTTTAAACTGATGTTCTTGAGTTTTTAAATAAAATCATTTAAACAAGCTTAAGTTAGTTATTTTACTTGTTAAAAACCACTTTGATTTATTTATAGGTTTATACTAAAGGTTAGTTTCTGAAGCCTCGTAATAATAAAATATTATATATTAAATATGTAGTTTTTAAACCATAATACCCTCTGTTCCTTGTAACTGTCTACACTGTCTTTAGCACTTATTATGATGAGCGTTCACTGCCATCTAAATGGTAAATGGACTTGAGCTTATAAAGCGCTTTTCTAGTCTTCCGACTACTCAAAGCGCTTTTACACCACATGTGGTCATTGTACTGATTTACACAAAATGTAATTAAAATTTATAATACAGATATTCAATTTAAATTATCAACATTAATCAAAACACAACTTTATCTTTATTATAAGCACTTTTTTACATTACTGGTGTCGACAATTTACATGATTAATTTGTCATCAAATAACATGAATAGTTTCTGATTTATCCACTTCTACACACATATCTGTGTGTGTGTGTGTGTTTGTGTTTTGAGGGAAAAATAAAGAACATATGGCTTTCACTTGAGAAAATATAAATCTTCCGTTCGTCTGAATTCACGACTTAGATATCTCATTGAGAGGGAAAAAAACTGCCCCGTTTTTATTAACTAACTAGAGGCTTAACTCATTTATTCAGAAAAACACAAGATTTTTTATTTTCACTAGTTATTGCAATAAGCTTCTGTAAAAGAGGATTCATCTGATCCAATTAAACTTCAGTAAGCAATAAACCTTAACGATCATTCTTACTTATTTGTAATTTATTTATTTATTCATTTCAGGAGATAGACGTCTATCATTTGAAACTTTGAGAGAAGATGTCCAGTAGATGGCGCACTTTAACAAAGCTGTCCCTTCATTGCACTGCTTCCCCTCCTCCTCATCCCCACCCCTCGCTCAGTGTCTGGATTGAGAGCAGCCATTTCTTAGACTCATCTCACCTAGAGGACTATACAGCCTCCCTAAGAGGGTCGCACACTAACCACTAAGCTACCAGCGCCCCTGAATTATTTTTTCTAATAGAACCAGCAGGTGTTGTTCAAATTAAAAAAGTGAAACGATAGTGGCAGTACTGGCAGTACGGGTATGCAGTATAAAACAGTTTGTTCCTTCATACAGCAATGAATCTCAAACACATTCACGCAACACACAGAAGAAATCAGGAAATCAAGTGCCAGGAGTTCTTGAGATAGATAAAATTGCTTCATGATGAGGTAACACCACTGAGACAACATGAGCCAGATCCCTCATCTCCTCTGCAAAAATCAAGAAATCAAACTTTTATTTGCATGGCCCCATTTCATAACAAATGTTATCTCAAGACACTTTACAAAAGAGCAGGTAAAATACCTGGATATTAATCCATTATGAACACTAAGCAACATTACTGTCATGATCCATATCCTGGCAGCTCCTCTCTTTCCTTTTATATGTTGTTTGTTCATTCCCTGGCTGTATCAGAATTGCCAAGTACCTACTCAATCTGTCAGTAGGCAGTAGACAGTAGACAGTACCTACTATCCGTGCTGCATACTGTTTAGTACCTACTATTTAGTAGGCACGCACAGTAGGCAGATATTTGTTCCTACTTCGTCTGATTCATTCAGTAAGGAAGTGGTGTCATTTACGTTTCCCGAACCGGCTGCATCCACCCGTTTATTTTGTTTTTTTTGTTTAACTTTATTCAAGAAGAGTAATGCGCATATACAGTCAGGTAAACAAAAAACAATATCACAATGTAAATCAAGTAAAAGACAGATTAAATAACTAAATAGCATACAGTAGGCTACATAAAGGAAAGTAGAAAAGAAAGACAGTAATATACAGAATATAAAATAAACCAATAAAGACGCATTTAAATAATGAAATAATTATTTAAATAGAGGGAAAAGGTTTTATAATAATGTATACATTTGTTACATTTTTTGTTGTTAACTAAAAGTAGTGATTTCAGTCGGGGACTTTAAATTAAGATTAAATTAATCCACACACGTTTTATTTTTTATTTTTTTGAAAAGCTGCCGCAAAATCAGGCATTTTAAGCCGCAACAATCCCCCAAACAGTCTGCAATGTCCTGGAGGGACTGTCTAGTGCTTTTGAAACACAATGTGAATTCACAAACTGGGACACCAATATTAAGCTGCCGCCAAATCCATATGAATGTACAAAGATGACGGTTGAGCTTAATTACCGCGCTGTTGCAGAAATGAGTCTGAACAGGACTTTTGACAAAGCACATTTTCAAAGATTCCCTCAAAGATTACTTTACAGCCCGTCTCACAGCTTTTTGTACATATTAGTAATTTAGACCTAAGCCTTCATTTATTGTCCTCTCTTCCCTCCTTGTCTGTCTTCTTTCAGGTGTGTTTGTTTGGGAACTCTGAGGTGTCCTTGAGAGATTTCTTGCGCTCAGGATCATCAGAGGAAGAGCTTCTGCAGATCATCGGAGCAGCAGTGGGCAGGAAGAAGAAACAACATGCAGGTAGACTTGTCTTCAGACACACCGGGGTCGGGGTAAACTTCCACATGAAATGTTACAATCTTCTGTTTGCGTCTCCAGGAATGTTCAATATCTCCAAGATGAAGAACCGGCCTATGATCCTCATTGGTGGGTGACATGGCTGTACGTACAAACCTCTCACACTCAGATTTTTCCATCACTGCCCAGTCAGGATTTTCTGTAAATACCACTGTATTTGCAGCCCTTTCACACTGAAATATAGACAATCAAATGTACATTGAACCAATGACAGATACAATCTTGATCGTATTCCTACATGTTTGAACCTGAGCTCGGGTCTAAATGACAAACAGGTACAAAAAGCTGTGAAATGAGATCGCTTCAACCAGCAGATGTGACACTGGCTGTAATTTTTGCAACAGTTTGTTTGCATGAAAAACACTGATCAAAGTACTTCCATTCCAACTTTATTACCACAAAGTCATTTAGATCTAAATATATATAGAAGGATCAGGTGTTACCATATTAAAGTAGTATTACATCTTCATCTACATACACACTTTCTTGTTTTTAGCATTGTCCTTGACAGATGCTCCTTTTTCCAACAGGTACCAGATTCCAACCGCCTATGTCACAAGACAGCCAGAGAGATTTCCCCATTGTTTCCCAGCTTCCAAACAACACAGTCCTCTCTGCAGACACAGCTCCTCATATGTGCGCTTCAGGCAGCAGGAGAGTCCAAATGAGAGAAATGGATTTATTGTGCCTTCCACACTGCACTCGTTCAATACAAGGAGACTCATCTAGGACCCAAATGAGTGGGGGAATTCATGCCTGGTCAGAAATGAACAATGAAACACCTAATGTGACAGAAAACATCCAAAGTGAAACACTTCTTCCCTCCTCGGAGATTGCAGATAGTCTCAATTTCAGCAAGACTTCAAATTCAACCTCCCGCACAAATATCAGGAGAAGCATTAATGAAGGCTGTCTCAGGTACGCAATAGCCAGGAGTCCTAACGTTCTGAAGAAGAACGTACTCAGGACTCTAGGAACGCCTGTTTTTTGCACACTAATGAATGCCAAAATGAATGTAAAGCACTACAATGTTAGACTGTGCCATAATAAAAGCTCAAGTGAAGACCATAGTCTTAAACTCCGATGGTGTGTCAGTGATCAGAGTAGGTCAAGCACAAGCGTCTCCAACACCCACCAGAATGAAACCACTGAAGACCAGCTGACGCACACAGCAGACCTCGGTCCTCATCCCACTCTGCCACCCGCTCCCCTTGGACCACGTCTCAGTCACCTCTCACCTGGATGAGCTGCAGGACGCTGCGGTCATCACAGCAACGTGTCGCACTACGGGAAGGACAGGGGTCGAGATTTGTCGACTGGAGTGAGCTCAACTACCTTCAGCTCAATGCCAGCAAGACAAAGGAGATGGTGATTGACTTCCGCAGTTACCCCAGACTGCACTGGTGAACATCCAGGGCTTGGACATCGAGAGGGTGGAGAAGTACACATACCTGGGTGTTCACCTCAACAACAAACTGGACTGGTCACACAACACCGACGTCCTGTACAAGAAGGGCCAATGTCGACTTCACCTGCTGAGGTGACTGAGGTCCTTTGGAGTGTGCAGGACTCTGCTACAGACTTTTTATGACACTGTGGTGGCGTCTGCACTTTTCTATGCAGTGGTCTGCTGGGGAGGAGGGCGCACAGAGAGAGACAGGAAGAGACTGAACAGACTGGTCAGGAGGGCCAGTTCTGTCTTGGACTGTCCTCTGGACTCTGTAGAGGAGGTGGGTGAGAGGAGGTTGTTAGTGAAGCTGACATCCATCATGGACAACCCCTCTCACCCCCTGCATGACACTGTGGGGGCCCTGAGCAGCTCCTTCAGCAGCAGACTCAGACACCCACCCTGCAAGACAGAGCGCTACCGCAGGTCGTTCATCCCATCTGAAGTCAGACTGTTTGATCAGACTGTTTAACAACATCACCACCTCATGCTACACATTGTGTGTGTTTTGTTAATAACAAGTTACTGTGTAATTTTACATGTACATTATTGTAATTTTTTACATTATTGTATTTTTTATTTTTATTTAAATGATGTAAATATGTTTGATCTGTTTTTTAACCTGTATTTTTATTTTTTATAAGTATATTCCTCGTCCCCTGTTTTCTGGAGCTGCTGTAATGCACAAATTTCCCCCATGGGGGATCAATAAAGTTTATCTTTATCTTTATCTTTATGGAGTCCTTGACAGCAGTTTCTGTTGCGGCATTGACCGTCTACGACATGTGCAAGGCCGTGAGCCATGACATCGTCATCACAGATGTCAAACTGGTCAGTAAGTCAGGCGGGAAGAGGGACTTTCAGAAACAATGATTTGTAATCGGCATGAAGAAGTGCACCTTTTTCACTTGATTTGATGTATGTTCTACAAGCTGAAGGTAGTGATCAGAAAGAAGAAAATATATAAAGTTATAGAAAAAATGAAGAGACCACTGCAAATATTTCTATCAGCATCTCTATATGCATAAAAGGCATCCTTTTGTAGTGTCTGATAAAATTCAAAGGAGGCACATCTCATTATACTAATTGAGGATTTGGTGATCACCTCACAAACCATTCAATAAAGCTGAGCTGCTTGAATTTTTGCGTCAAGAGTGGTATAATGTCCCCCAACAGCAACGTGAAAGACTGTGTGGAGAGCATGCCATGAAACATGAAAGCTGTGGTGGGACGCTGGTTTAACTCGGTTGGTAGAGCATGAGTCCCACATACTGAGGCCTCAATGCTTGTTTGACTCCTGACCATGACCATTTGGTGCACGTCATTTCATTCTCTGTCTCTTCTCAGCTTTCCCTGTCCAATAAAGACAAAAAGGCTGAAAAATAATCTTGAAAAGAAAAAACAAATCAGCAATGGGTTGCACCAGCTGTGCATAAATCCAAGCATAGGTTAGTTCCCCCTGGAGATTACATCCCTCATAAATGATCATGAAGCGTTTTAAAGCCTTGTGCTGTAGTTGATGATTTGACCACTAGATGTCACCATTGTTTCTTTACACCAGCTGTACATTAAGAATGTAGTTTTTAGTTATAACCTGATCATCCTGCCTTGTCATATTTTGCAGAACTTTTTCGTTGCTCTTTGTCCATTAACAGAAGTTACTCTCAGCTGTTTGTCTGTTTTAAAGACAACAAGGCTTGAGAGACAAACACACTGCATTAAGATAAAAGCTTTCCACTGACTGCTCACATGAAGTTAAAACTTCATCTCTGAAACAATATTTTGGTTAGTTTAGATGTGACAATATACTCGTTACAATGAACCTTACATCCCTGTGGGGTAGACAAACACTGACATGACTGAAGCTGCAAATCAACAAGTTTCTGAAATGACTATTTTTCTTACATGTTGAATTCTTTGATAAACCTCAATGAACTATGAAGAATATTAAATTAAGAATGAAGTCTAGGTACTTGACCTGTTAAAGCTGGCAGAAACAGATGAATGGGAACAGAGGAGTGTGTGTGTGTCTCTAAATGACCTCTTCTCACCTGCTTCGTGTTGCAGTAAAAAACTTCACTACATGTCTGAGCATTTGACATTTGGGGTTGACTCGACTGTAGGAAATATAACAGTAACTACCTTCAGCATTCCCCTCCAAAGCTAGTATAAAGTGAAATGTTTAGACAGTGTAGGCTATACTTTACTTTGACCTCTTTAGTGCAAACTGGAAACATGACAATGAGGTGACCGTTCTATACCCATTACTCTTTACATAGTTGCAGATAAAGATTATGAGAGTAGAGTATTAGGGCCACTGAAACATTTTTTGGGGGGGTCCGATTTACTTATTTTTATTTTTTTTAAGTCTGACTGAGAAAAAAAGTCAGAATCCTGAGATTAAAGTCCAAACCCTAACATTTATTTTTCCGTGGCCCTACTCCTCTTCCGTACAGATAACACAAACCTGTTCCCTGTCAAAGTTTTGTGTTTGTTAATTTGCTGTTTGTGCTTGGAGAAGTAATTTCATAATTATCATTTGTGTCAAATCCCTGATTTCTAAGGTAGTAGTTGCACTCAGAGGACTTTGGTGGGAACAAAAGCGCACCAAATCGAATTCCGTGATAATGTTGCATTGATACAGACTTGGCCGTCCCAATTTTTTATTTTTAATGCTGTTTATTATCATTCATTATTCATTGTTGTTTGTGTTGATCGATTCTGTTCACTGTTTTTTTTTATGTGAGATTTTGTGGGAGAAACCAGAGCACCTGGAGTAAACCTTAACACACACAGGACATCCAATCTCATCAACACAAAGGAGGACATCATGTGCCGCTAGCCGCTGATGCCTCATGGTGACTTGAAAAGGGAAATAGAAGAGGGGAACAGAAAGGTTGAGTAGAAAGAGAAGAAAGGGACAGGACAATGATGTCTGTTAACCATTTAGGTCTTTCTGGTCAGCAGCCTTTTGAACTCCAAGTTTTGCTTAATGTACTTGGTCTGCACAGTGGCCAATCTCCTCAAGGATTCTCGAGACTCCTTAGAATGGTAGTTGTAATTCTCGGCAAGCTGGGGGCAGGACTGTCCTTTGAATGTGTTCTTTCAGTTAGTAGATGGCAAACGGTTTACCAGCGGATTGATCCATTTATTGGCTCTGTTAGATGGTGGCGTCTTGTTCTGTTTTAAACACTTTGTGGTGCTCTGTATATCTTCAGTGTCATATATTGACCCTGACTCTTGGGTGTCAGAAATTGAGAGACAGTGGTTCTGCTTTAGATGTACCTCACCTAGCTCTCCAATGTGAGCAGTGCCAGAGTTATGCAAAGTTTTCTCTGTACCATTTGCTTGATGCTGAGACAACTCTGCACTAGCAGGAGAACACTCGGCTGAAGTTTCTCCAGCCCTGAAATTGTCTCTACAGGAAATGGATGTAGGACTTCTCAGCCTCCACCTGTCATCCCATTTGTTAAATATTTTAGTCTCCTCGTCCAATGATAGAAAGGGGTCATATTCCTCCTGCAAATCATCTTTCTTCTCTTCTTCTTGCTTCTCTATGCTGATGGTGATCTGAACATGAGCTTTTTACACTTTACCGGCTTGTTATTAGCAGTAGATCTTTGCATGCACTTCTTCTCCCTTTCTTTCAGTTTCTCGAGTTTCAACCTAAACTCCTCTGCACGCAGCTTCATCATCATCTCTATGTAATGCTTATTTCTCATTTCTGCTAAAACTTCTTCAGGAATTTTGTCAAGCTGATCAAACAGTCTAAACATACGGCGCTCCAAAGTGTTGAGAGTGTTAAACCGAGTATCTACTATGGTGCGATACACATCAGTCACATCTGGACTGTCCAGGCATCTCCCCACCAAGGCTGCACATAGCCTTGGACTGAGGCAAGAAGTCGATGACAATTTGTTTATACTTAGCGTATTTACGCATGATTTCTTCAGTCTGTTCCAATTCATTTTTAATGGTCGCTATTTTGTCATGTAAGTCCTCACTTATCACGTTTAAATCCTCTTTTGAATTGTGCGCTCTATCAAAGTCCAAGTTGGCTTTTGCAAGTCTTTCCTCAGCTCTGTTGAGTGACTCCCTGTGACCTTTTTTAATACGATCAAGCCGCCGCTCAAGCTGTGACACATCCTGCACATCCTTTGCTTCTATAGCTTTGTGAAACTTCTTAATCTCACATCTTTTTATCACCAGGGATGCCAAAATCATGGCTCTCTTCTTTTCGATAGAGAGAAATTTCTGCTCCGGTTGTCT